AGGGGTTAAATTGTAGAAAAAGAGAGGAGAAAACTGAAACCAGAAAGCATCAAAAACGCACAGAAAAAGCATTAAAAATGCAAATGTTGGAAGCACATCCAGAACGCATCTGGACAGCATTTCTACACTGTGAACCGGCCCCAACGCACGCCATAAGGTACGTTAGGTAATGCATCGCAATGAAGTGCTTTAGGATTGGTTCACACCTGAAGGTAATTGGCGCACTTTTCCACGCACCTTCAGTGCGTTCCCTTCTGCTGTCTATTCCTTTTTCCTGGGAGAAACGCAGAAGTCCCCGACTCTTACAAATGCACCTCCCCGCCATTAGCAACGGCATTGCCGCATTTTCCGCATGTTGGGATGGTGCGTCATCTTCAGCGCGTTCCTGACACACAACGGCCTCAACCCAGCCTCAGGCTGCACTCACATCGGCGCGTCACGTGAACCCACTTCTGTTTTGTACGTTTTTGCACTACATGCATTCATTTGAATGACCCCCAACATGCGACAAACACACCTGTACCCCTTTTTTGGGAAACAAGCTTTATGTGTTTTTTTTTTTTTTACCGTCACATTAGTTATGTGTTTTGATGCGCATCTGCTGGGGTGTCGCTAACATGCCGAGTGCTGAGATGTAAATGGAGTCACATTGTGAATGAGTCCCCAACCTTTTAAGCACCAAGTCATTTTCAAGGCAGCTGATTGGTAGAAATCCTGTGGATACATCCGGGTACAACACCGCCCATTGGGAAATCATTCTACTCTGTCGCCATCATGTGGACACATCCGGGTACAACACTGCCCATTGGGAAATCATGCTCTCTGTCTCCATCATGTGGACACATAGGAGTACAACACCGCCCATTGGGAAATCATGCTCTCTGTCTCCATCATGTGGACACATCCAGGTACAACACCACCCAATGGGAAATCATTCTACTCTCTGTCGCCATCATGTGGACACATAAGGGTACAACACCACCCAATGGGAAATCATTCTACTCGCTGTCGCCATCATGTGGACACATAAGGGTACAACACCGCCCATTGGGAAATCATTCTACTCTGTCGCCATCATGTGGACACATCCGGGTACAACACTGCCCATTGGGAAATCATGCTCTCTGTCTCCATCATGTGGACACATAGGAGTACAACACCGCCCATTGGGAAATCATGCTCTCTGTCTCCATCATGTGGACACATCCAGGTACAACACCACCCAATGGGAAATCATTCTACTCTCTGTCGCCATCATGTGGACACATAAGGGTACAACACCACCCAATGGGAAATCATTCTACTCGCTGTCGCCATCATGTGGACACATAAGGGTACAACACCACCCATTGGGAAATCATTCTACTCTGTCTCCATCCGGCCTACCAGCCCACACTCAGAGGTGTAGGTTGAGCCCCAGTCAGAGGACAGTGAGTCTGAGGATCACAGGGGCATGTTAGGTTCTCTTTAAGTGGTGAAAAGGGCCTTCCAAGACTGAAGCTGCTCCATACTTATCAAGCCTTTCTTTCTTGGGGCCCATAATTATTTTGGGGGGATGGGGGCATATATTTGACTTCCTTCCCAAAAATGCTGCTTGTCTGACTGCTATGCCAACCCTCTAACTTGAGTCCCTGACATGGAATAAGTACGGCAGAGGACAAGGTGGAGCAAAGACAGATCTGCATTGTTGTCCTGGGTCAGTGCATCAGAAATGATTGAACCCATGGGATGACAGCCAGGCAACAAGCATTTCCAGGAAAGGACAGACATGGCCACCTTCATACCCCTCTAGCCACTTCTTTCCTTCAGTCACAAATAGATGAAGATGGGGTTAGTTTTGGCTCCCAACATATAGACAAAGCATTTGCCTTATGGCTACACTTTGCACAGTGGGGCACTTTTCCGGGGACACAGTTGGGGACACTTTTTATGCAGACACAGCCTTTCCAAAACGGGGACTGTCCCTGGAAAGTGGGGACATCTTAAGGGTACAACACCACCCATTGGGAAATCATTCTACTCTCTGTCTCCATCCGGCCTACCAGCCCACCAGCCCACACTCAGAGGTGTAGGTTGAGCCCCAGTCCGAGGTCACCCTACCTATGAGGCCAGCCAGGAGCGTACCTACAGGGGTCAGGGTACTATGCTGCAGGGGGCCCTTACAGCCCCTCTGTATGCCTGGATAGGAGGAGCAGCAAGGGCAGCTGTGTATAGAGGAATTGATCTCTCACTTTTCCTCCTGCAGCTGCTGAATGCCCGCTTCTCTTCTCCCTCATGCAGGCATTCAACGGCTGCAGGAGGAAAAAGGAGAGATCGATTCCTCTATAGACAGCCGCCCTCACCATGATATTCAGGTTGCCATTGCTGGTCAAGCATAGGGGGGTGGGGGCAGTAGGAAAAAAGCTGGATAGGAGTACCCAGCTTTTTCCTGCCGCCCCCATGCTTTCTAGCCCCCTGCGCTCTCTCTGCCCTCATGTTCCTTGACCCCCCCCCCCCCCGCTCTCTCCCAGTTCCCCTTTCCCCGCAGCTCTGCCAGGTTCCCCCCTCCCCCGTTGACTGCTGGGGGGGGGGATATTTAAGGATGGAGAGTGGGGAAGAGGTCAGTAAGTGTGTAATTTACCAGCTCCTTCCTGATCTGAATGGTCAGTCAGTGATTGGTATCGACCACTGACTGTCCATTCACAACTGAAACATAGTAAACTGTGTTTACTATGCTTTGGTTTATGAATGGATGGGAAGCTCAGTACAGAGTTCATCCTGTCCATTCATTCTGTACAGCTGATGATGCAGAGAAGGAGATGGAGGGCTTTGTCCTCCATCTCCTTTCTCTGTCTCAAAGGTGGAACATCAGAGGTTTAGGATCCCATGGGGCTCCTAAAAAAAAATTGTAAAAAAAAAAAAAAAATAATAATATTGTACAAAAAATGTAAATTTAAAAATGGTAAAAACAAACAAACAAAAAAAAAAAAGAAACAATTGAGTACTGTCCATGATACGTTTTTTATTTGCACTGACATATAATTTTGAGTACAAGCTTTTGGGGCATGTCCCCTTCTTCAAGGTCCAGGCAGTACTCCAGTACTGGACTTTGAAGAAGGGGACATTCCTTGAAAGCTTGTCCTCAAAATTATATGTCAGTGCAAATAAAAAAAGTATCATGGACAGTACTCAATTGTTTCTGTCACAAGTGTACAATCACCTACAATCAGTTACAATCACCTCAAGCAAAAAAAAAAAAAAAAAAAAAAAAAAACTACTGACACCACGGTGGAACTACCAGGGTTACAAAGGTCACACCCGTGTTCGGACCCTGGCATTCCGCCACTGGGCTCAGAGGGAAGGGGTCAGGGGGGCCCTTCATGGTTTCTTGTACCGAGGCCCTGAAGGTTCTAGTTACACTGAGACCAGCAATGGCAACCTGAATCTTGTTCACCGCCAAGATTGCTGGGTATATAATAAGGTAGTAATGAAAACTATGAAATTATTTATTGAATATTCATTAGCATGTTGATGAGGGAAGAAAGCTGGAAGCAGGGAAGGGAAAATATAATCAGGTGACACGTTCAGCGGTGAACACGCAGTAAAGGCAAAGGGCGCTGTGCGTGGATACAATACTGTTTGGAACGCACTTACTGGAGCTCTGCTGCCACCTGCTGTACATATATGGTGTTGCAGAGTGCTGGACAAGAGATGCGGTGCAGAGTCACATCAGACTGTAACAGGGGCGGACTGACAACTCATGGGGCCCCCGGGCAATAGGGGATCATGGGGCCCCTGTGTCCTTGCCCAAACTCAAAAAAGCCTATGAAAAAGGTACCAGGAGCATCTCATGGGGCCCCCTACTGACCCCGGGCCCTCGGGCAGTGCCTGAGTTTCCAAATGGTCAGTCCGCCCCTGGACTGTAATAGAGAATGTTCTGGAATACCACAAACTACAAACGAGATCAGAGTCTTCATAAATACAAATGTATAATAAAGATCAATATCCTTCCCATAGAAGCCGCTCACCCCAGACAGTCCACGTTTCAGAAGTTTGGAGACGTCTGATCTCCCATCTGGAGGAAGTTACAATGTACAAAATGTTTCCAGTTGAGAAACGCAGAGGATCACAGATCTCCTTTCCTGCACACGTGGAATGTTTTATATAGGAAAACTAAGTTCTCCCATCTTATCTGCTGCACAACATCTGAAATCTGACCTCCAGCCTTCCCTTCAGTCTTGCAGTTGTAGCGGCTCCTCTCCTGGACTGAAATGGCTTTCTCTGATTTCACTGCACACTGTGAGCTCCTCACAATGTGCATTAGAAGCTGCAGCAAGTCAGACAGAGCTCCGCCTCATTTCCAGCCTGGAGGACATCCAGCATCATCTAGCTCTTTCCTTCCTAGCCTATCCCCGTTCCTTTCCTTCTATTCATTGGATTTGGGTTCTTTCCATCATGGAGGCTCAGCATGACATGTGGGCGTTACTTAGGGCGTTCTGCACGCAAATGTGGTCTCCTTAGGAAAGCCGACTCCTCCAGTCTGACACCCACCTTCCAAGGCATTTGCATAACATCTCCCACCACTTGCATCAGGACTGAAGGCTCCTGAGAGGAGTACTGAGGCAGGGTGCTGTGATGTTTTTAGGAAAATATGTATAACACTGTGCTGGCGCCTCCCATCAGTCATGATCTGCCTGTATTGCATAGAAAAGCACAGAGACCCAGTGATGACATCTCTGGGTATAAAATGGCATCACTGGATGTAAAATTTCATAACTACTATAGCAGCAGATTGCGATCAAGCCCTGATCTTTTGTGTACACTTTGATGTAAGCTCCTGGCTTTTCAGTAGAAATGAGCTGGTTGGCTGTAACGTCAACCAAACACTTCTACAATACCACAAAGGTGGCCCCACCCCCCATGGCTCTGGCCAGGACTCCGAGCACATTTGGGTTTTAAGCTGTCAATTCCTAATAGGTTGGGTGGTGGGTAACAAGCAGACTGGGGTCACACTCAATGCACTTATCACTCATCAAGGGCAAACCTGAGCTTGGGATGATGCACACAACTGTCTTAATCAAATGAACTTTACATCAGGGCACACCTTATATCAGCAGTCCGCCCATCACCTCAGAAATGCCCCCATTACATCAGAGATCTCACCATCACGTCAGAAATGCCCCATCACCTCAGAAATGCCCCATCACCTCAGAAATGCCCCATCACATCAGAAATGCCCCATCACCTCAGAAATGCCCCATCACATCAGAAATGCCCCATCTCCTCAGAAATGCCCCATCACATCAGAAGTCCCTCCATCATATCAGCGGTCTTCCTATCACATCAGAGATCCCCCCTATCACATCAGAAATTACCAATTACATCAGAAGTCCCTCCATCATATCAGTGGTCTCCCCATCACATCAGAAATCCCCCATCACTTCAGAAATGCCCCATCACATCAGAAGTCCACCCATCACATCAGAGATCTCCCCATCATGTCAGATATGCCCCATCACATCAGAAGTCCCTCCATCATTTTAGCGGTCTCCCCATCACAACAGAAATCCCCCCATCACTTCAGAAATGCCCCATCACATCAGAAGACCCTCAATCAATGCTATCAGTGGTCTCACCATCACAACAGAGAACCCCCATCATGTCAGAAATGCCCCATCACATCAGAAATCCCCCATCATGTCAGAAATGCCCCATCACATCAGAAGTCCCTCCATCATATCAGCGGTCTCCCCATCACATCAGAGATCCCCCATCACATCAGAAATGCCCCATCACATCAGAAGCCCACCAATCACATCAGAGATCTCCCCATCACGTCAGAAATGCCCCATCACATCAGAAGTCCCTCCATCATATCAGCGGTCTCCCCATCACAAAAGAGATCCCCCCATCACGTCAGAAATGCCCCATCACATCAGAAGTCCCACCCATCACATCAGAGATCTCCCATCACGTCAGAAATGCTGCATCATATCAGAAGTCCCTCCATCATATCAGCGGTCTCCCCATCACATCAGAGATCCCCCATCACTTCAGAAATGTCCCATCACATCGGAAGTCTATCCATCATATCATTGGTCTCCCCATCACAACAGAGATCCCCCTATCATGTCAGAAATGCCCCATTACATCAGCGGTCTTGCCATCACATCACAGATCCCCCCATCACATCAGAAGTCCACCCATCACATCAGAAGCCCACCAATCACATCAGAGATCTCACCATCACGTCAGAAATGCCCCATCACATCAGAAGTCCCTCCATAATATCAGTGGTCTCCCCATCAAATCATAGATCCCCCCATCCCCCCACACTTCAGAAATGCCCCATCACATCAGAAGTCCCCCCATCATATCAGCAGTCTCCCCATCACATCAGAAATGCCCCATCACATCAGAAGTCCCTCCACCATATTAGCGGTCTCCCCATCACATCAGAAACCCCCATCACTTCAGAAATGCCCCATCACATCAGAAGCTCCCCCATCACCAAGAAAGGACAATTACGGAAAGTATGGATAATCATTTTCCAGTCTTTGTGAGACATTGGTAGAGGAAACATAATGGGAAATATGTTGGATCATTTTTTGGGGGTGAAGACAAGGAAGCTTTGATGTTAGATGATGCATCTTTAACAAGATGGTAGCATTGTTTTATATTTCATTAGGCCATCTTGAATAGAAATCAGCTTTTTTGTCCGTACTTCTCTTGTGGATCACAGGAGTGCACTTACTTGTGTTCTCCTAGAATCTGGAATCAGCCAATGGTAAGCTAAAGCCTATGTCGTCTGACATCACAGAGCTGCTCCAGATCCCCACCATTTATTTGGTTTCCACACAGATGCCTGCCCCAACATCTCAGCATGTGACTCCTTTGAGGTGTGGAGGGGCAGAGAGGAGAGCGGTGACTGACAGTCACAGCTCTCTGCTGAAAGCTGACTGAGAACTGAGTGATCAGTGGTCATGTGATCGCTCAGTTCTCAGGCTTAAACAACGATTGAAAAAAGTATAGTACTACCCTATTAATGCAGTAATACTGTGACCCTCTAGTGTCTTAACCACTTCAATACCGGGCACTTTTACCCCCTTCCAGCCCAGGACAATTTTCAGCTTTCAGAGCTGTCACACTTTGAATAACAATTGTGCGGTCCTGCAATGCTGTACCCATATGAAATTTTTATCATTTTTTTTTTCACACAAATAGAGCTTTCTTTTGGTGGTATTTAATCACCACTGAGTTTTTTTTCATTTTTCTGCTAAATAAAATAAAGTACACCCAAAACTTTTGAAAAAAAAAAAAAAACACTTTTCTTCATTTCTGTTATAAAATTTTGCAAATAAATAAAATTTCTTCATAAATTAAGGTCAAAATATATTCTGCTACATTTATTTAGTGAAAATAATAATAATAATTGAATTTGTATTTTTTTTTCGAATATTTCTATTTTTTTTATTTTTCATTTAATTTTTTTCTTTTTTTTTTACTATCTTATTTTTCAGCACACTGTGACTAAAGCAATACGTTACCATAGTAACAATGAACTACTCCGGGTGAGTGATCAGGATTTTCTTCTTTTTTTTTTTAACACATTATGATTGCTAATACAGATGTATTTCATTGATATTTGCAATCATTGTTACTGAATGAAAAGGATTCATTCAGTCTTTTGTTGTGATTAGCTGTGATTGGGCAAAGCTGATCACATGATACAGATGGGCTGTGATTGGCTCTGTCTGTATCATGTGACTGCCTTGACCAGTCACAGCTAACAACATAATTGTATACAATGGATGGCATGACAGGAAGCCATCCGTTGTATACAACTGACATGTGATCTGCTGTGATTGGTCATGTAGGTCACATGACACTGGCAAAGGGCCGGTGTAGTGATATGTCATCGGCTACGTCCCGTGGACACAGCCGGTGAAAGATCGTGCTGCTGCGGGGCCACATGAGTGGTTAGTTTTGAGAGGACGTCATATGACGTCCATTCACAACGGCGAGAGTCCCCCCCGGCCATCAATCTGCTATAGGCCGGGCGGGAAGGTGTTACAGTAAACCTCAAGTGACCTATGTGTCTAAGCTGCAAGTAATAGTCTCTGTGAAATCATCCACATACTACACAATAATAAAGTGCAAAGAGTAAAACTGGTGTAACCATTAACATACACAAAATAATGGACTGCAAAGAATGCAAGGGAAACCCCTTCTTGACAAGAACCCCTTGCTTAAAGTGATTGACAAGAAGTATAACAGAAAACATATAGAAAATGTATAAAAAATCTATATAAATGTATAAAAAAAAAAAAAAAACAGTGGTGAGAACCCCTAATCCAAACAATACAGTCTCTATGCCTATCTTCTGTATCTAAGGCCCTGTACAAATGATGAGAATATCGGATGAATGATCGTCCGTTTTTTTTGCATGCTAGTCTCATGCTTGTCCCTAATTTTGGAAGAAAGCTGAGACCTAATGATCAGATTAGCGTGCAATAGCTTTGGAAGCCATATTTTGCATACGATTGGAGACTAGGCTTCACTGGCCATGAAGTCCAAAGATCTGTTGAGTTACTACCTTCAGTTTTGGCTGAAGGTCATGATGAAATCTGCCACATCCCTTGAGTTTGGTTATACAAGGATCCAGGATCAGGTGCTGCATTCACTGAATGTTCCCAGGAATGACTGCTGTGAGCTGGGAACCTCCTCGGCCGGGATCGTCACTGATGGATGTACCGCCATCTTTGAAACGTTCACACCATTCAAATGTCTTACTGATCTTATCACCGTACTGCGCTTGAAGTTTTCTGTAGATATCCGCGGGTTTTAGACGAAGAAACTTCATCACCACACGCTGTTCCATGCATGCACTGACACTGGTGTCTGCCATCTTGAATAACGGTCTCTGGACTGGCCCATGACATGTGTGACGCCCATCAGTAATAGGACACACGCTAGTACCCTTATTATACCCGTAAAATGAAATGTCCGGGCTTGACTTGAACTCCCCTTCTATGTTGGATTTCAAGTTTCTTCTGATAT